ATGGGGGTTTAAATATTTATTCTAGCGTCAAAAAGTTTCCGTTTTGTTGACGAGCACTTTTATATTAATGTATACAAGTTTTGAAATGACTATATTATATAAAAGACAACTTGCTGTGACCGGCATGTGTTGTAATGTTGGAATTCGGGTGAATTGTATAGGAAGGACTTGGATGAATAGTATTGACTGTCTCGTTGGCCTGTCGTATATGAGACTGGTCACCACGTGACCGTCCCATCGGACTATAAAATGAGGAAATGGAGATTGCACTTGTTACGCCCTCCTTTCTGCCAAGGAGGGTCGCGTTTGTATACGGCTTAGAGATCTCTAGTTAGACCGTTAAGCCAGTCCCTAAAAGGCGGTGTTTAGTGGGTAAAAGTCTCCACATAACCACGCAGCCGGCTGCGAGGTATGCTATGAGCATTCACCGCCTCCCTCCCCCGCTTACCGGAGGGTTGCCCATATTTGCTTCGGGCGCAAAAAAAAATGCACTTGTGCTTGCGCATACACTTGGGCAATGTAATCCTGTCCTGTGCAGATGGCTCCATACGCAAAAACGACTACAGACATTATTTCAGTCAGCAGATCACTTTACATGTCGGTTTATTATTAAATTGCGCCTAACAAATACTCCTTTAAAAAGATGGTACGCAAGCTATGAAAATAAAAACTGGCAATTGAATTACCAAAATTGACACTTTAATTACTGAATACCAATTAAAACTAATACACACTAATAATTATTCACACTTAACACTTTCGTTCACTTTATTTCACTCCGAAAGCTTCGCTCTTATCGCCAATTCAATACTACCCCAGTGGCGGGCTTCAACGCCTTTATATACGCCTTTTTCACCGATACATCCAGAATATTCTAGTAAATACCGGCTCCCGATCAACCAGGTGCAGAAAGTTCGATTGTGGAGCTTTTCAGAAAGCTTAGTTCTTCTATTCGATACTAGATGGCGCTGTTGGTTGAAAGTTCAGTCATGACATTTTCTGAAAAGCTCTCCTCGCTCTGTTCCCCGACACTAGATGGCGCTAGTGCCAGGTACCAGACATCAACTTAGGCGCGCAACAATATTGTTAAGTAGCCGTATTTAAAATGTATGTATTAACTTTGTATTTATGTATATTTATATCCATATATATGTATGTATGTATATTTATATATGTTTATTAGCATATAAATGTATTTATATTATGAATATGTGCTTTTTTATTTACGTATCATTCTCTATTTTGTTACATATAATGTGTATTAATTTTAGTAGGTATCTCTTTTTTATTTTCTTTTAATTGCTGCACCTACGACAAATTCTTACCACTTCATGGGTTGACTGGTAGAGAACGCCTTTAGGCATTAAATACTCCCATTGTATCCTTTTTTTCTTAGAGGACGTGAATAAAGATTTTAAAATAAAATAAATTAAAACCAGATATTTGTTGTAATTTACTTAAAAAAATAAAACATCAAACGCCCAGTATCACGGGTATTGAACTTTGTGTACAGTGTATGTCTTTAATCTCGCATTCGCTTGCGGACGCGGTGTACCCCCCAGTGTTTTCTAATATATGTATTTGTATGTGTGTTCGTGTTAGTGGATCGTCTCCAGAAGAGGAGAGGGGAGGGGGTAGGGATCAGCTTATTCTGGCTATTGATCATAATCGGGATCAAGAAGAACGTTATTTGGACGTTTCTTGGGGGGGGGGGTGAGGTAAGAGGGGGAGGTGGCAGCTTGTCTCTCTAGGGAGTACGTACCCACCTTTACCAGCAACGGATTTGGGTGTTTCTTTATCGAATTCTTATCTTAATCTTAACAATAATCTTACGATACGACTGTACGATAGTAGGCATTTTAAGATCGCGGTGGAGACCCTCGTTCCTGGCATAAAAAGGAGCTCTTGTAATGCACTTAGGAATTTATTTTGGATAGCTTGAATCTTCCAAAGTGCTCATCGCATTATTTAGTGTTACCCCCAGGTATTTAACCGCTCTAACCCAAGGAATTGGGCTATTATAGAGGGAGATTGTAACTGTCTTGTGTAGCTTAAGTCTTAGAAGGGTATTTTAAAGCGACTTTTCATATTGAACGTGATAGTTTTGCTTTTATTAGAATTTAATTCTATTCTCCATTTTTTAAACCAATTGCCTCGTGGATTTGTTGTAGCTAGTATTCTAATAAATACCCTAAAACGCTTGTGCTAGGACTGGTTTATAGCTATCCCCTCCCCGAACGGGTTCCTGCTTTGTCTTCGAGGGGGGGGGGTTAGTACTGAACGAAAAGGAAACCACTTGGCTGATCAAGGCAGACCATTAGTTGATGCGAGTCCGACCGGTATGTACCCGCGAGGTGGTATACCCACCTCGCAGGGACATAGGCATTTAAGGTAATAGGCTACTGTCCTCTATAAAATGTAATTAATTTAAATTCTATAAGATAGTTTTACATTTTATAGAATGTTATTTACATTAACTATATCGATGTTAGTGTGGATTGAAACGTCCAATACAATTATATGATACCAAGTATAAACCTACACGTGAATAAACAATTCCTATTGATCGAAGAAAGGGTCAACTTTAATACGATAAGGGATGTCACAAAGCTCATGTCTAAACGTAGCTTGGTGAAATACTCATTATTTATTTACGTTACATACAGGGGGTTCAGCGTACTTTGAATATTGGGCAGGAGCAAGCACGTTTCAATTCTACAAACACGGCTCGCCTTTATGACCAATAAAATGTTATACGGGCTTGTGATTAAGCCAATTACTTCTAATTGTGTACGTATTTTTTATTGCTCCCGTGTAATCGTATGTAATTTCAGAGGAATATCGTGTGCGGATTTTATTTACGTAGCACACGTTTGTACGGACGGCATGAACGGTTGTATACATTTTATATCAAATGGTTACATTATAATAGGGTAGGTATGTGTGTACTTCGCGATGAAGTCCTACTTTATCTTGAGCAAGGCGACATTTTGCGTTTTTTCATCAAAAACTACGAGGTGTTAGTAGATAGTATCAATATAAACATAAGGGGTTTTTACTTGTCTATTAAGCTTTGGTGTAAAGATGAATGTTTGGAAGTTTGTCAGATCCGAATAATAAATTTAACGTTATTCTATATTTTTTTATTTGTCTCTGGTAAGTATTAGTCAGGACCCGCGACACTGCCGCCTTGACACTTTTGATCATTGAAATTCAAAAAAAGACACGAAGACCTTTTTTATTTTTTTTTTTGAAGAAGATATTTTTTTTTTTAATTAAAAAAAAAAAATAATTTAAAAAAAAAGGGCCGAACTATTATCAACGGTTTCGGTGTCATATTAAATGTTATACGGGCAAAACCCAGCTAGAGCTAACACTTGGGTAAAAATAATTAATAATTGGTTTTCGGATTTGATTGTTTTATGATTATACTAGTATTTCACTATAGCCTAGTCTGCCTACGACGTTAAACCTTAATTAATTAACCGTGAAACCTATTAAACGTAGTGGCGGTGTAAGTATATCCATACACAGGCAGAAAGAAAGTGAAACAGGTGATGAGCAGCAGCATCTTCCTGACAACAATTCAAAATAATAAATAAACTGCAGTTGCCAACACGCCTGCCAAGCGTGGCAGCTATGGCAAATGAAACAATCTAAGGGGCAGGACTTCGTTCAGCGGCGGACTTTAGGTTGTAGGCTGTAATGGATGGAGCACTATGTATCTCCTGCGCAGTTAACAGTTTTTAACCGCAGTTTTTAACCGCTCTAAAGTTGCGCAGTTGCTTGAAGTTTCAAATTTCCATGGTTGTTTATTTCGTCTGACTGTAGCTGTAATACTTAAAGAGTATTTTGAATATAGCCGAAAGTAGTTTACCATAAGCGAAATTGTTGGGTTGTTTGCCACGTTAGCGTTAAAATAAAACCGATTTAAAAAGATAGAACAAAATTTGAGATACGATCGGAATCGGATCGTGTGATTGCAGCAAATCAATCACAACGCTCAACGATCCGAACAAAATTGTGTCTACTGATCTTACATAAAGATTTTTCAAAAAGTAGGCAAATTTTAATCTTAAGTTTAAATATATATAAATAATGATATACTTTTAGTGCAGTTTTTGAAAATACGAGTAAATAAGGCTAGAAGCCTTACTACTAGAAGCTTTACTCGTATTTTAATTTTTCTTTTATTTGAAATTATTCAAAATTGAATGTTAATTTATGGACAACAACGTTTTTGCTTATCGATCGACCCTTACGAATATGTGCGTGCGTAGAAGAATCAAATAAAATAGCGCATTACCACATTTTGAATTTAAAAAATAAAAAAGACAATGTTTGAGATTTATTTTTAATTAAATTTTCTTCACCATTTGACTATATTCCTGAACCTTCTCTGCAAATTTTGCCAGTTATAGCAAAATAAGCCTATATGGTATTACGTAGTTTGAACACTAATTACTTTATTAATATGAAAATTACATGCAATACGTAGTATTTTCGATCTTCTTTGAATCAATATGTTACAATTAAAACATGTACGGATTATATCTCTTTTAATTTAATACATAAAAAACTGATAACTTAATTAATGACTAAGTTTTATTGATAAAATCTACAAAAAATAAAGCTTAAAAAAAAAAACGGAACCATTCTTTTATTTATGTACAAAAGCAGTAGTTAGAGCTCAAATACTTGTCACTGCTTACACAGACCTTGTCCGATTCATGTCAGGATTATAGAGCAACTAGTACACCTCGTTACTTATCGGAGTTCGAATGCATTCGAAAATATTTTATTTGGTAGACGTGGAAGTTTCCCCACGATATTGTCCTTTACCGATGATCACGTGGTAAATCAGCACTTAACAATATTACTTTAGGATTGTACTGAAGTTGTTTACGTATTATAAAATATACAGCTAATGCTTAACCCCTGAGCAATCATGACTTATGTAAAAGAGAAAACTTTAAAATATATTAAACAATTTTACTCACGTGGTAGGTTCATCCAGAAATATGATAGGAGGGTTATTGACTAGTTCTAAAGCGATTGAGAGTCGTTTGGACTGCCCTCCAGATAAGCATTCCGATCTGGTGTTTCTGTGCTCCCACAATCCTAATGTCTGCAGAATTTCTTCCACCTATGAATAAGAAGAAATTGCCTTATAATAAAATAAGATAAACTATCGCTATTAAAGAAATTATCCCGATACAGCCTATGCTGAAATTTTCACAATGCACAATTTATTAGATTGTCATGGCATGCCATGTTTACCCGTATCACAGAGACTGCATATAAGCCTACTTTTGTGTTACCGCTAGAGCACTAGATCGGATAAAGCAGAGAAAGTCGTCGGATTTTATATCTTTAACAGATCGATGATTCATTAGACTCTGACTGTGTAGTACTATACACTATGCCCTGTTTTCTTTAATAAAAAAAATAAAGTAATGATTCGAGGCCCTCTTTTTTGCACAGAAGTCCTCACTTACTTACTACCCTCTTACCTACTTCTGTAGCCAAATAGCAGTGCGTGCATTGGCTGTGTTTCGGTCTGAAGTGGAGAGAACCAGAATAATTACAGGCTGTGCGAATAAGAGTGGTGGTAGAAGGACTCTGAAGCATAAAAGGAACCTAATCTTACTATACCCAGAATAGTTGAAACCATATAAGTAAAAGGAAGTATTTAACGACCACCAATGGGATCCGAATTAATGATTCATCGGATGACATAATAATGGTATCTAATTAGACAAACCATGGACTGTAACGAAAAGATTAGATGGAATCAACTCCGACGATCTTAGTTACAGTAATTGCGCAGTTACACAAATTCTAGGTTAGGTTGGCACAAATGGAGTTTTAATAAACTGTAATCAGAAATAATAGTGTCTCGATTCACAGATTCCGGTAAGTGATTTTGAGAAATAAACTAACTTTAACTTTATATATATTTATATATAAAGTTTGTTAGTTTGTAGAATAATTGAATTATTATAAAAATATTATTTATACGTGGTAGAGCCGTGCTGCAGTTATATAAGTAATATAGTTGTAGTATGAATGGGTCGGCTCGACCGGGGAAGGACCACGCTCTCACAGAATACCAGCGTAAAATATTAGCTAATGCTGCTGTGTTTCGTATGGTGAGTGTAGAGAATCGGAGACCCTTTTTACTGGAAACAAGACCTGTGAGGCCTAAGATTCCTTCTTAGGCCTCACAGGTGACAACGCATCTGCATTTTGATTCGTAATCGAGGATAGATGTAGATGTCTGTGGGCTACAGCAACCACTTACCATCAGGTGGACTGTTTTGCTAGTTTGTCACCCTTACCCATAAAAAAGTGAAAAACTGCATTGCAGTATACGTTCTTAGAATAGAATATTTTTGAAAATACTATGCAAGAAATATTTATTGAAATTCATCTCTGGTTCGGGAAAATCATTGATTGAGAAGAACATAGACTTATTATTTTTTGTATATCGTTTGCTGTTTAGAGACAATTAGTCGGTGACAATTTTCTGCATCTGTTTTGTGTATTATATGTATATGCATCAGTACATATAAATATGACCTGAACAACTGATAATTTTGATAGTAATCCGCTGTGACCGAAATCGTCCGGGCTATATCATCACGGTCACGTCTCTAATTGAAAGGTAGATACGGTTGAGTGCTTTTATTTATGTACCATACGTGTAGGATAAGAATAGGAATTAGGTTTATTGTTAATTTCACTTTTTAATTTATTTTTTATTTATTGTAAGGAAAACACATCAAAATAAATTTTACAAATACAAATGAAAATATTGTTTAATAATTAAGTTTTTTTTACTTATATTAGGGTAAAGCACTTGATCTTAGCGTGTAATGCGAAAGGTAATATCAGTTTGACGGTCTTATTCTTACAGTTTACGCGTATTACTTACTGTAGTGTGATGGCGGTATAAAAGTATTTAAAACTACATCTCATAGATTCTTTTATATCGCAAGCGTTGGTGTTCAAAGAAGAAACTTACGAGGAAGTATGACCTCTGTTACTTCTTTGTTAATTTGTTCGACTTGAATGTCACATGAGCATTTAGTATTTTTACAAACACTTGAAATCTGAATCTGCAAGGTGATGGAAATACGTATATCATTTATCAATACGCCTATCAAATGTGACGATGATGGAAAATCCACTATGATATAGATAAGACCCATTCAACCATATGTACACGCCTGTGGATACAGTTTGAAATGTTTATTCCAATGAATCCTTCATAAGCATAAACTTCCCCAAAGCACTTTAAGATCTGTCGCGTAACTGTATGTATTCTACATAAACACTAACCTTCGCTCGAGAAATGTGTTTGTTATTTCAAGTTAAATTGTTCAAATTCGGGATTGGTATGTGTGTTTTTTCCTAGTTCACGTTAATCTCTTGTATATTTTAGACTCTACAACCTACGAATACCACTAATCTTTAATCTCACATTGCGGTCGCCACGATTTCGCTGTCACACGTAACTTTTTGGGCATATTTTATGTAAACAATGTATCTATGTATGTACGTATGGATGTAATGAAATTTTATAATTCAGTTTTGTTTTTGAATTAACTTGTTTTTTTTAAATAACCTAGTTATTAAGCCATCACACAACTGTGTACTTCAGCATGTGATGTAAAAGTAAAGTAAATTAAAGTTACAGCCTATATATATAGTCCCACTGCTGGGCACAGGCCTCCCCTCATTTCTGAGAGGGTTAGGGCAAGGAAGTGTCCGCCGCGCTGCCCCAATGCGTGCTGAACACACTTTTTTTCTCTTATTCCTCAACATGCAGGTTTACTCACGATGTTTTCCTTCACCGCCGAGCACGTGGTAAATCAGCACTTAAAATTGCAATTAACAATTACATTGGTGCCGGCGGAGATCGAACCCGCGTTACTAGCGTTCTGTTATATTTACAGCGAGCGTTAACCATCTGAGCTACCACGGTTCTCCATGCAGCATGTGATGGCTTTAAAGAAGATTATTTTTTCGGTCGGACAGATTTGACAAACGGCCCAGAGGCTCGGCAAAACCCGATCGGAAAAAAGGCAAAAAAAACAACCAAAACGGGCGAGCGGCCCCAAAAATAACAGCACCCCCCAAATTATTTATTTTAGTATTACAATCAAATAGAGAGTGTATTATTCTAGTCGTGTCTATGTGAGTGGGACTTCATGAGATGCTAATAAGCTGACAGTACAAAATAAATGTAGAACTACGTTGTATGGCCGCAGCATGAATGAGTCGGCTCGACCGGGGAAAGTACCACGTTCGCACCGAATATCAGAGTGACATAGCAGCATAGTACTGCTGTATTTCTTATACTAAGCCATAACCATATTCACTGGCAATGACGAATTCCAGCTTGCTCATCAAGGGTTATTCTGCATTCGCATCTGAATTTTGATTTTTAATCGAAGATAAATGTAGATGACTATGAATCTACAATATATACAGGTTGAGAGTGTGCTCGTATGTCACATTTGATAAAAATACATCTATGTTGCGAGACTTGTTTTTTTACAAGTTATGTTTTTGATGGCATCTCATTTATTTTTGTAGATAGTCCTACTTTTTTACCCTTCCGGTACGTACCTTCTACTTTTTGATTACCAACAACGTACCTATACCATGTACACTGATATATTATTCACTGCAAATGTAACTTTGTAATCCTATATATTTATACGGAATTACAAAGTTATTTATGCAGTTAATGTATCTAGAAAACCGAAACATTTTAATTTTTCCTTAATTTATACACTAAACACTAATTGTAAGTTTGAAGCTATTCTATGTCTATGTCTGCTATGATGATGCTGTTTTGATGATCGGTCAGTCAGTGAGTGACAAAATTAAGAAACTTTGACTAATTATAATTCCTAAACCACTGGTTAAAATTGAATGAAATTTAAAATGTACCGTTTATATACAATGCCTAATAGGTTACTGAAAATTCAGGCCTCTAGTTCTATCCACATATAAGTCATAGGGGGTCGAAAATAGCCTGAATTGTTTCGAGAGAAGTATGGTACGGTCGTGCCGCTTTTTTGCCCGACTTGGCGGGGGCACTGCCGTGCCCCCAGATCTCTCGCAATCTCTCACAGTCAGACTAATAAAAAAGAATAAAATAATAGTGACGGAGTGGTGATATAAATTTCAATGTTTTATTTGCGTTAAGTGAGTAAATATCCCAAAAAATATTTATTGACGTTTACGTCTCACGATGCATCGCACTGAAATTTAATTCAGAAATGCCGACAAAATATTTTTAATATTATACCTTCAACCGTTCTAGAGAATATATCTCGTTGAACGTGCTTCGGAACCACGACATGCATTTCGCATTCCACATTTCAATATATATTTACCATGGTTAGTATTGCTCTCTTGGTCGCATGTCCAATTTTATAACTGCCGTTGAAAAAACTTTGAAATCTCAAAGCGTACTCTTACTATTTGAATAAATTCTGTTCCTCATTTATACAACTTTTTTATATAAGTTATTTGTGAAAAAAAAAAACGAGCACACAGTCTATTTGATTGTAAGTGGATGCTGTGGCCAATAGAAGTGTACATCTATCTCCGATTAAGATTTAAAATAAAGAAGCGTTGTCACCTCTGAGGTCTAAGATTAAATGCCTCGTTTCCAGGTGTCTCTGGCCCTCTATACTCACCATTAGAAACACCGCAGCATTAAACTGGTATTCTGTGAAAGCGTGGGCTTTCCCCGGTCGAACCCAAACATACGTGCTACAACCAAAATATCATAGATGCAGTGTCGGCTCTACTGAGATGATATTTTTATTGTAGTATGCCATAGCCCTTTCGGACCGGCGCCAAAACTAGACGGAATTGATCCGGAAAAAAAGTCACACCTGCCATAAAATGAGCTGCTAATTGCAAATCTGAGGTCGCTTTTCCATTTTCCGGCCGCCATCTTGGAAAATTGTAGCCCACACAATTGTATGATCAGGGGCCTAAGATAGCAATCCCACAATCATGAAATCGCACAATTGGATCAAGACGGGCCAAAGCTTACAATATATTTGAAATAAAACAACATTTTAATTGACGAATATATTGTTTATTAGCCCAAAATCA